GATTCCGTGACCAGATCCTGCACGCTTCCTTCCTCCGGTATTTGTCCACCTGCAGGCGGCTCGTCCTCCGCAGCTGCCGTGTCTCCCGGTCTGTCTCTCGGTCTGTCTGTCTGTCGGTATTTAACGTCGCCGCCGCTCCTGCTCGCTCGCGGTGTGTTTATAGACTTCTTTTCACCTTTACCGGATGGGAGGCTGATCTGCGGACCTCGGTGAGGACCTCTGAGAGCTGCAGCTGGAGGAACAAGTCGACGTTCACGACGTGACCGGACCTGAGAGGTTCGGCAGTCCCGACGGTCTGAGGAGCAGCTCTGCAGGTCGGTAGATGACATGTACCGGGATTTAACCCCGTAAATAACCCGTGATAGACTCCTGAGCAGCAGACTGCATCAGCAGGTACCTACAGCTGGACCACAAGTACAAACAGTAGTAGTTAGTTTTTTATCCTGCATGTTTATTATTATTTATTTTGAATGTTCTGCCACAGTTCATATTTATTGAGACTGCCTTTATTTCAGAGTGACAGGAACTGGGGAGCCTGGTGGGGTGTGTGTGGGGGGGGCTTAATTTAAAATTTTGTATATTTTTGTATTTTGTTATATTATGTAGGCTACAAGTTTTTCAAGTGCCAAATCATAACAGTTATCTCATGTCACTTTTCATAAAGAGCAGGTCTAGACCGTACTCCATGAAACTCGAGCAGAACCATGTCCCAGGGTGGGCGGTCATCAGCCTCGACCGGTGGGTGGGTGGGGGGGGGTATAGAGATGTAAAATAATAGTAATGGTACTAATAATGATAGAAATTTGAATTATGACAATAAAAATAGGACTAATAATAACAATAATTGTAGCAGAGGGTGTCAAGCAGGAACACGGGGGCAGACAGATCCAGACTCCACAGCTCCAGAGCCAGAAACACCTGCAGGAAGTGATAGGAGGAGAGAGGAGAGGGACGAGAAAGCACAAGACTACCGGAAAGGGGAGAAGTTGTGTTAGTAACATGCAATAATGGGATGAGGTTGCATACAGAGGGAGAGAAAGTAGAGGAGAGAGGAGCTCAGTGCATCATGGGAAATCCCCCGGCAGTCTAGGCCTATAGCAGCATAACTAAGGGATGGTTCAGGACTCACCTGAGCCAGCCCTAACTATAAGCTTTATCAAAGAGGAAAGTCTTAAGCCTACTCTTAAATGTGGAGATGGTGTCTGCCTCCTGAACCCAAACTGGAACCTGGTTCCACAGGAGAGGAGCTTGATAGCTGAACGCTCTGGCTCCTAGTCTACTTTTGGAGACTCTAGGAACCACAAGTAACCCTGCATTCTGGGAGCGCAGTGCTCTGGTGGGGTAGTAAGGTACTATGAGCTCTTTAAGATAAGATGGTGCCTGACCATTAAGAGCTTTTTAGGTAAGAAGAGTGATTTTAAATTATATTCTGGATTTTACTGGAAGCCAATGCAAAGAAGCTAAAACAGGAGAAATGTGATCTCTTTTCCTGGTTCCTGTCAGAACACGTGCTGCAGCATTCTGGATCAGCTGAAGAGTCTTAATGGACTTTTTCGAGCAGCCTGATAATAAGGAATTGCAGTAATCCAGCCTAGAAGTAACAAATGCATGGACTAGTTTTTCTGTATCATTTTTAGACAGGATGTTCCTGATTTTCGCAATATTACGTAGGTGAAAAAAGGCGGTCCTTGAAATTTGCTTAATGTGAGACTTAAACAACATGTCCTGATCAAAGATAACTCCAAGATTCCTCACAGTGGTGCTGGAGGCCAGGGCGATGCCATCCAGGGAAACTATATCTTTAGATAATGCGTCACGGAGGTGCTTAGGCCCCAGAACAATAACTTCAGTTTTATCTGAGTTTAACATTAGAAAATTACAGGTCATCCAGGTTTTAACATCCTGAAGGCACATTTGAAGTTTAGCTAACTGATGAGTTTCATCTGGCTTGATCGATAGATATAACTGAGTATCATCTGCATAACAATGAAAGCTTATGGAATGTTTCCTGATAATATTGCCTAAAGGAAGCATATATAAAGTGAAGAGGATTGGTCCGAGGACAGATCCTTGAGGAACTCCATGACTAACTTTGGCATGCATGGAGGACTCATCGTTAACATGTACAAACTGAAATCGATCTGATAAATAGGACTTAAACCAGCTTAGAGCGGTTCCTTTAATGCCAATGAAATGTTCCAGTCTCTGCAATAGGATCTGATGGTCAATGGTATCAAATGCAGCACTAAGATCTAATAAAACCAGTACAGAGACAAGTCCTTTGTCTGATGCAATAAGGAGGTTGTTAGTAATTTTCACCAGTGCTGTCTCTGTGCTATGATGAGCTCTAAATCCTGACTGAAAATCCTCAAATAAACTATTGCTCTGTAGAAAGTCACACAGCTGTTTAGCAACTGCTTTCTCCAGAACCTTGGAGAGAAATGGAAGGTTAGATATAGGTCTATAGTTGGCTAAAACATCCGGATCAAGTTTGGGCTTTTTCAGAAGAGGTTTAATTACAGCTACTTTAAAGTACTGTGGTACATAGCCTGTTGATAAAGACAGATTGATTATATCTAGTATAGAAGTGCTGACTAAGGGTAAAAATCTTTAAGCAGCCTAGTCGGGATGGGGTCTAAGAGGCAGGTTGATGGTTTAGATGAAGAAAATATTGAAGTTAGTTGGTAAAGATTGAGGGAAGCAAAACAGTCTAAACATATATCTGGTTCTACAGCTGTTTCTAAGGTTCCTGAGTTTAGAGATGCATTTAGTCTCTAATAATCAGAACTTTGTCTTTAAAGAAGCTCATGCAGGTGTTACTACTGAGGATGGGGCCGGCCCTGTACCTGGTGGCCTTCATCAGGATAATTTTGGGGGCCCTGCCTTGCACCTGATAGTTAGAACCAGCTTCTGTATGCTATAACTATAACTCTTCTGCCTTTCGTTTGTACCTTTAACAGCATGATGGGCGGCACTTATTTTACTGCTTATTAAATACACTCTAATGAGACACTCAAAGTAAAACTGACTTCTACTTTGTTTTTGGTTGGATGCAAAGGTTGGTTGGAGGTGTGATGGCTACTGAGCAGGATCAGTTGGTGGAGTACAGTTCCCAGAAACACAAGATACCAGTTGGCATCCATCAGCAGTAACTATTGGAGCTGCGGGGTGAGATTAGTGTAGACACAATTAAGTTTTCCCACAGAGATAAAGATGTAGTGACAGGAAGCTCACCGACTGGATCGCTGCAGTCAGAGATTCAGTGTCAGCAGGAAGACGGAATAAAAACGTTCACATTTACTGTGAGTAGTTGTTTGAAGTCTGTTCGTTTAAATCATTATCTTGATTGTTATAAAGAAATCATACTTAAGATCAATTTGCTGCAAACAAAGACAAATTATTAATTTACCATCGGCAACATATAGTTAACTTACCAGCAACATTATCTCTTGTGGTATCTCTGAACCAGTCGAGTCATCTCCAGCTGCTGTGTGGGTATTAATACAGTCATGAGAACAACATACATAACATGCAAATTGTAATCATACGATGTAATATACATACCTATACATGTATATTTACATACATGTGTACATCTCTAAATGTACAAGAAGACAAAAGTGATTTGATTGAGTTTAGTTCATTACTTTAGTGACAGACGAGACAATGGTACGCGCTGTAGCACTTCCTGCTCTGGAATAAAAGGATGTTAAGATGTTTTTACTTTGAAGTCCTTGTTCATTTGTCTCTGTCATATTATTCAGATCTTTTAGCAACGTTTACAGTTTTTCTCAGTCGCTTTGGGACGTCTCATCATAAAAGCAATTTCTCATTCTTTTGAACAAATTGCAAATGGGACAATCATAGAAGTGATTATGTATCATTGTTTGCTGTTTCCTTCATGATCAATATGTCATACTATTCAAAATGTGTTATACTTGCTCTCTGTTGAATCGTCTCACCAACCAAAACATCAAGTTCATTGCATAAGTTGCTAGATGCAAAACTGTGAACAAGAACCTTTTCTTTACATGTCTATTAGAGTTTTGTTGTAAATGTCCTGAACTGATGAAGACGTTGTGATGTGGTGAGAATCTGAGGCCCGACAGACAGGAAGCCTGGGGCTGTTTCCAATCTTTACATTTCTAATTTCTAATCGTTCCCTCAGTGCTGTAAAACTGTCTGTCTTTTTCTTTCCTGTGACATACTCTGCTGACACATTACAGGACCAACAGTGAAAGCACAAATGTGAATATTGTCCAATCTCTTGAAATTAATCTCATACGTGTAATTGTGTACTGTTGAAATTTAAATACGGCGTACAGAAAAAATGCAGCCTTGTGCATTTTCAGTCGCCGTCATTTGAACCTCAGTTTCCATCAGAAAATACTTCCTGAGGACTGTTTGTTATATGACAACAAGTCAAAACATTTTGAGAACGTTTCATTCTGGTGCAGCGACGTTTCACTGACATAAAGATTTATTTTGGAGGGACTAAGGACTTCCTGTTTTGCAAATGTTAAGGATGATTCCAGAAATGTACCAAAGTGACTGAGGAAAACTTTAACACTTTAAAACCTATAAAGTCTGATAACTGAATTTTGTTAAAAGATTTTAGTTCCAACCCTGTGGAACAAAGTGAAGAGACTTTGTTGCTGAATCACATTAGTCAAAAGCATTTATGTGTTTTTATGTGAATTTGTCTTCATGGATTTAAAAGCTTTGTGTGGTCTCGCACAATTCAGGGTTTAAACTTTAACGTTTAATACTCAGAACACAAAAGTGACAAAAGGCTCACTAATATAAGACAGAGGTCCAAACTTTGTTGTATTTCCTGTTTTATTTTGAAGGCGGTCTGTCTCTGTTGTCCTTGTCTTGCTTTCTTTCCTGTCTGTCCTGATTGCCTGATGTGTCTCACCTGATTGTGTACATATACTCCCTGCTCTCGTTACTTTGTTTGTGTAACCGGCTCCGAGTTGGACTGAACGGTCCAGACTGGAACCGGTGACTTCGGGAGGCGGACACGCTGATGAGGAAGCTAAAAGCCGCGGCTGTTAGCGTCTGTCTCCAGTGCGTCTCTTAAGACGTCAGGGAGCGAGGTTTTGTTTTACTCCCTGCACAGCCTCACTGGTCTGCCTGTTCCTTCAGTTCTCTCTGTTTTGGATTTCTGTCAGTCGCTGTGTCTGGATTGAGGGAGGGTCGGCGGTTTGAGTCCAGCAAAGACCATTGCTGAAGGGGCCTCTGAGCAGCGCCCTGAACCCCTAACTGCTCCCTGGGCTCATTGCCAAACGTCTTATTATTATTATTATTTTTTTTATTTTTTATTTTTTATTGCCAAACGTCTTAAATGTTCAGGATTGTTGTTATTACTCAGAATTCATTATGATTCTAAACACTGATCACATCAACGCAAATTTTAGACTTGAGATCAGTGAATTTTAATATCACTGGTGACAGTGATATTATGTGATATTTCCTCAGTCATGTTTCTAAACAGAAGCAGATCGCACAAACTGCTAAAAATCCTTATTAAGTAAATCAAATGTCAATGAAATGTCGGTGCATCAGAATGACACGTCCTCAAAATGTTTAGCCATGTTGCCGTATAACTGATCTGATGTAAACTTTGGCTCAGGTTTGGACGACACACGTCAACTCCAACAGTAGAAAGTTAACACATTACAAGAGACTGGGCAGGATTCAGGCTTAACCTTTTACTGTGTGTGCTGTGGTGACCGAGCAGGACGTGGTGCAGAGAAGAGAGACGGAAAGACGGGAGACAGGCGGACGTTCCTGTCTGTGGGGCCACAGATTCTCACCGCATCACAGTCGATATCTTCTTCAGGACACGTTAACACACGTATGTTGTTTTGGGAGGTCAGAATATCCAACAGAGAACCAGTGTAATGAGAACAGAGACAAACAACAGCGGAACCAGCGAGAACTCTTAGTAGACAGACGAGGTGGTCGGAGGTGATTGATCAGACTCAAACTGATTGATCAAAAGTTTTTCCATTTCATGAGCAGATTCTCGTCACCTGCGAACATGTTCTTTCTTCAGACTGCTGAAAACATATTATAGAAATCCTCAGTGAGTCACTATTATTTACAACTCAAAGGCCTCATCAGCCTGAGACTTCACTTAATATCTTGTTCTTCTTCGCAGCAGGCTGGTGAATATTAAGTATTGATGAAGCATTGATGTGTTTTATGGTATTTATTTATTATTAATGCAGGAGGTGTTGGTAATGATGCAGTTTTTATACAATATTGTAGTTATTGATGCAGCATTTATGTGGCAGAGTTGAAGTTTTGATTCAGTATTGATGAAGGAGGATGAAGTATTGATGAGAGGCTGATGTAGTATTAATACTGTGCTGCTGTATTTGTGATGTGTAACTTTGAAAGGCCAAACGGAGGAAACAGGAAAATAAAGACCTTCTTTTGATTCTCTCAGGCAGCAGCTTATCTGTGTGGATGCTTCTGTTCGATGTTAAAGCGATCAGATCGCAGTATTCGTGCAGTATTTAAAGCAGTTGTAGGTATTTTTTTCCGACCTAGACTGATGAGTCAGCGCTGCTCAGTTTGAATCTGTGTTTTTAATAGAATTTATTTCTAGTTTCTAAATATCTGCTGGCTTTTCTTTCCCTCACTTTCATCTCTCAGGATTTCTTTATGCTACTTTCATCTCTGTGTTTCTGCTGCTTAAAGATATTGTTGTTCCTGTTTCACAGATGTTTAACTGACTTTACTCACCCTGCTCTCGGGCTTCTGGGAGTTTCAGTGCAGTGCATGCTGGGTATCTGAAGCTAACTGTAAACAGGAAAACAGCCGCTCATGTTTTTTCTAAATTCAGCTGGTAACTATTTGATCAATTATAATCAATCTCCTGATTGGTCTGTGTGTCTGTCAGGGGGTGATGTCATCATGATGCTGCCCGTCTCAAGGTTTAAAGGTCAGCCAGTTGGCATGGTAACCACCACCACACCCTGGCTGTCCGTCAACAGTGACCCTGTCCCCCACTGGCTGTGGTTGGCCAGCTGGTCAGCGGCAGCGTACCAGGCCATGCCCCCTCTGGTCTTCTACCCCCCAGCTGTGTGGATACCTGAACACACTCACCTGATACAGGTAACACACCTGGTACATGTAACACACCTACATGGTACAGGTAACACACACTCACCTGGTACAGGTAACACACACTCACCTGGTACAGGTAACACACCTGGTACAGGTAACACACCTACATGGTACAGGTAACACACCTGGTACAGGTAACACACCTGGTACAGGTAACACACCTACATGGTACAGGTAACACACCTGGTACAGGTAACACACCTGGTACAGGTAACACACCTACATGGTACAGGTAACACACCTGGTACAGGTAACACACCTGGTACAGGTAACACACCTGGTACAGGTAACACACCTACATGGTACAGGTAACACACCTGGTACAGGTAACACACCTGATACAGGTAACACACCTACATGATACAGGTAACACATACTCATCTGGTACAGGTAACACACCTGATACAGGTAACACACCTACATGGTACCGGTAACACACCTGGTACAGGTAACACACCTGATACAGGTAACACACCTACATGGTACAGGTAACACACACTCACCTGGTACAGGTAACACCTGGTACAGGTAACACACCTACATGGTACAGGTAACACACACTCACCTGGTACAGGTAACACACCTGGTACAGGTAACACACCTGATACAAGTAACACACACTCACCTGGTACAGGTAACACACCTGGTACAGGTAACACACCTGATACAAGTAACACACACTCACCTGGTACAGGTAACACACCTGGTACAAGTAACACACCTGTACAGGTAACACACCTGATACAAGTAACACACTCACCTGGTACAGGTGTCATACACTCACCTGGTACAGGTAACACACCTGGTACAGGTGTCACACACCCTCAACTGGTACAGGTAACACACCTACATGGTACAGATAATACACCCTCACCTGGTGCAGGTGTCTCACACCTGGTACAGGTAACACACCTGTACAGGTAACACACCTGATACAAGTAACACACACTCATCTGGTACAGGTAACACATCTACATGGTACAGGTAACACACACTCACCTAATACAAGTAACACACACTCACCTTGTACAGGTAACACACCTGATACAAGTAACACACACTCACCTGGTACAGGTAACACACCTGATACAGGTAACACACCCTCACCTGGTACAGGTGTCACACACCCTCACCTGGTACAGGTGTCATACACTCACCTGGTACAGGTAACACACCTGGTACAGGTGTCACACACCCTCAACTGGTACAGGTAACACACCTACATGGTACAGATAATACACCCTCACCTGGTGCAGGTGTCTCACACACACCTGATACAGGTAACACACTCACCTGGTACAGGTAACACACCTGGTACAGGTGTCACACACTCACCTGGTACAGGGACGTGTGACTAACAGGAATTGAAAAATGCGTCCCTGAACAAAGAGTACCAGTTAGGTTCTCATCAAGAGCCCTTTTTCCCGGTCCTGTCTGGTCTGGACTGTCGCTGCCTGCCTCTGTTTCCTCCAGTAATCTGCCTGCCATCCAGTCTCTCTGTTTTCCCCTTCTGTCTCTCTGCCTCATTACCCTGATCCCAGTCACCTGTGTTGCTCCCGCCCTGCTCGTTAGTCCCTGTGTATAAATGTCTGGTGTTTCTGTTCATTCCCTGTCCGGTCATTGTCGCATGTCTGTCCTGTTGCTACCCGTTACCTGCTTTTTGGATGATACCAGTTCCTGTTCCCGTGAATTTTGTCTTGCCTGTTTTGTGCGTTGGATAAATAAACCTTGTGTCTTGCGTTTGGGCTCACTCCTGCTGCACTCACACAGCGAACGTGACAGAATGACCGGACCAATTATGAGCCCAGCAGACACATTAACTGAGGAACAATCTGATGTGCAGAGAGATCTTCTGACGCTGAGGCATATGTGGTATGGGGCTAGTCATGTTAGCGATAAGGCAGCTATCGTGTCCCTTGCCTGGAAGAGCCTGGCTGCTAAGCCAGGAGCAGCAGACTCTTTCCCTGGGTGGGTTTGTGACTTCCTCCACACCTCAGCCGATCCCCCAGCCAAGTCCTCATCAGTTCCTCAGTCCGTTAGCCTGGAAACGGCTAACACCCGGACCACTAGCCCCCGGCTGTCATCTCCCCGGCCTGCTAGCCCTCAAAGGACTTGTTCTCGGCCTGCTAGTTGCAGGTTGGGAAGCATCCTTCTGTCCTGCCTGGCTAGTGCTACTAGCCCTCTGCCTGTAACCTGTTCAGCTAGCTGTGCTAAGTCCTCCGCATGTTCGGCCTGTATCCTGCTCGGCTAGCGCTGCTAGTCCCCCGCCTGTCCTGCCAGTCACCTGCTTGGCTAGCGCAGCTAGTCCTCCGCCTGTCCTGTCTGAAACCTGTTCGACTAGCGCTGCTAGTCCTCCGCCTAGCCTGTCCGTCTGCCTGCCTGCCCCACCTACCAAGGACTCGGGGACGATGACTCTCCTGGCCTACCTGACCATGAAGGCCAGGGAGTCAGAGGCAGCATGGGCAGCTAGCCTATGGCCAGATAGCCTGGAGGCTAGGCATTCCCCAGAGTCCTCTTTTGAAGGGATTCGCCTAGCCATTTTTTCGGGTTCCCGTGGTGGTCATCGGAGGCGACAAGGTCACCATCAGAGACCCGTCTGCAACCCGCCTGTTTCCCGGCCTGCTAGCGCTGCTAGCTGCCTGCCCGATCCCTGGCCTATTCCTGCTCCCAGGTCTCACTCTGTGGTCCTACCGACACCTGTTGCTTGTCCCTCGTCGAAGGTCCGACTGACACCAGTTCCAAGGTCTCCGTCGGTGGCCAGAGCGGTTCCTGCTCCCCGTGCTCCGTTGGTGGTCCGACCAGCACCAGCTCCACCGGTGGTCCGATCGACTCCTGTTCCTTCGTCGGTGGTCCGACCAACACCAGCTCCGTTGGTGGCCCAGCCGACTCCTGTTCCTCGTGCCCTGTCGGTGGTCCGACCGACACCGGCTTTGCCGGTGGTCCGATCGACTCCTGTTCCCTCGTGCTCTGTCGGTCGTCCCCAGCTGTCTCGCCGGTGGTCATCAGCCCATCTGCTCAATCCGTGGACCTCAGCCCAGCTGCGCCTCCAAGCTTTGGGTGCCGACCTCTTGCCGTCGGCCTCCTGCTCGGCCCCCAGTGGGTTTGCTGCCTCACTGTTGGCCATCCTGCCAACCCCTTGAACTCTGTGGCCCCCCTGTTCTGCCCGGCCCGTTGCTCCCAAACTCTGTGCCCCCCCTGTTCTGCCCGGCCCGTTGGGACGTCATCCGGGACGGCCTCCCAAACTCTGTTTCCCCCCTGGTCTGCCTGGCCTCATGGGTCACATGAACTGTGTTGCCCTCCTGGTCTGCTCGGTCGACCTCCGGGTCAGCCCCCTGAACTCTGTTTCCCCCTTGCTCTGCCCTCGGGCCGCCCGCCTGAGGTTTCCCCGTCTGGTCCCCCTGTTCTGCCCTCAGGTCAACCCCCTGACCTCCCTGGTCCTCTCTCGTTCTGCTCCCTGGACTTTTTGTTTTTCTGGCCCGCCTCCTGTCCTCCCTCTGCCCACCCTGGTCAGCCTGGACTTTGTTGTTTGTGTTTTCTGGTCGGTCTGTTTTTTGATTGACCGTCTGGAGACGCTTGTCGGTGGGGGGGGGGTACTGTCACGATCCTGCCCTGAGCTTGTCTGTGTTATATTATTTTGGCCATGCCTTCTTTGTGTTTTGATTTTGCTTTCTTTGTGTCTGGGTTTTGGGTTTCAGTCCTGTCTTTCTTGTTGGGGGGCCTGGGTTTTTGTTCCATGTCTTTGTTCCTAGTCCTGTGCCTTAGTTCATGTTGTAGTATTTGCTTCTAGTTCACTCTCTGCATCATTTTGGTTTGGTCTGCTCGGTACTCTGTGTTCTAGTTCTGGGTTCTCGTTTAGGTTTTGTCTGTTATGATCCCTGTGTTAGAGTTGGTCGGTGTTTGTCTGTTCACTTGGGTTTCTGTTATTGTCTGAGTTAGATTCTTGTCTGGTATTTTGTTACATGTGTTCAGTCTGTGTTGGTTATTATTTTGCCCCATGTCTGCCAGTACTAGTGTTCTGTCTGTTCCCTCAGTTATTACTTTGTCTGCCTGCCTCTTTGTTCCCCTTCGCTGTCGCTGCCTGCATCTGTTTCCTCCAGTAATCTGCCTGCCATCCAGTCTCTCTGTTTTCCCCTTCTGTCTCTCTGCCTCGTTACCCTGATCCCAGTCACCTGTGTTGCTCCCGCCCTGCTCGTTAGTTCCTGTGTATAAATGTCTGGTGTTTCTGTTCATTCCCTGTCCGGTCATTGTCGCATGTCTGTCCTGTTGGCTGTCGTGTTGCTACCCGTTACCTGCTTTTTGGAGGATACCAGTTCCTGTTCCCGTGAGTTTTGTCTTGCCTGTTTTGTGCGTTGGATAAATAAACCTTGAACTCCATCTCAGCTCACAAGTGTCTTGCGTTGGGGCTCACTCCTGCTGCACTCACCCTGCAAACATCACAAGTACATTATGAGATTAAATCAGGTAATTAAAAGTTGTGCCCTGAGGTGAATTTAACACAAGTTAAATTCTATTATTAATTATTAAATATAATAATAATATTTTTTAAATTTGAAAGATTTTTAGTATAATTAATTTTTTTTTTTTTTTTTTTTTGAATGAAAGTTCCCTCAAAGCAAAACAATTTGGTGAATTTGATAATAAATCTTCATTCTGTGAACTGATCCTGAGAATAAAATTAGATTTGTCTGCTGCTCTCACCTTATCAGCAGGAACTCAGCAGCTTTTATTTATAACATTTAGAAATGAAAGGGGAAAAATAAAAATAACATCTTCGCAAGAAGGTTGACTACATTAGCCACAATCATCTGCCCCCGTAGCCTGCAAGTCATTAAGTCATGATGTGATTCAGACACTCTGAGACGCTGAATATTTAAATGGGTTCATGTAAATTCATTTAACACGTTGTTTCATGTTGTCTCGGCGTCTGATCGTGTGCTTCAGACTGACCCTGCAGGTGGTGTAATGGTCTGAGGAGAAGCAGTCGGGTAAAATGGTTTAATTCAGCGTGTCACTTCTCACGTTGTTCCTTCAGTCTGACTGAGTCGAGCCTCTGCTGCAGTCTGCTGATAAGATGAAACTTTAATGATCCCTGAGGGCAAAGTGAATAATTGTCTGTTAATTATTGGCGGCGTGTTAATTATCTCATCTTTAATTCTTTCTGTGTAAACTCCAGTGATAGAGTCTGATCGTTTTTCTTTAAAGTTAGTGTTGAAATCAGCTGACGTTAAACTCGTCAGACGGCTTTAATCACAGACTGACCTGAAACCTTGACTGCAGATTATTCTAATGTTTGCTTTAAAAACACATTTATACATTTCAGATGAGGACTCTTTTCGTCCGCAGATTGTTCTACCTTTTAGTTTCACCTTGTTGAAAAAACCCTTTTAAAACATGAAGACGATGTGAGAGAGGGCAGATCTTTGTCTCTGTTCAACAGCTTCGATTGCGTTATTATCGGCTTCCTCGCTGCTTTTAAAAGGACTCATTCAGGGACACTGGTGGGCTGTGATTGGACGGCCTGACCGTTCTGTCACCTGTCTGCCTGTCCTTCAGCTTTACGCCCGGCCTAGAGGGACCCTGAGCGGAGCATCCGAAATGACTCCCAGCGACTGCAGATGCAGTCCGGACAGAATTGATTTATTCATCAGTGACGGTAGAAAGAGGCGTCGGGGAATGAGCTGCCAGAACAACAAACACAACATTCGATAAAATGTCCAAGTTACAACAAAAGAACATCCAGAATACACCTGTCCAACATGAACAGGGCTACTGTCCCACAGGTCCAAGGACTGCTCCTTTACAAGACACTGACTTTATCTACAACAGAGATCGGTCTTTTGACACTATCAGCCACCTTCCTGTCCACCTTCCTGTCCACCTTCCTGTCCACCTGCCTGTCCACCTGCCTGTCCACCCGTCACCTGCCTGTCCACCCGCCTGTCCACCCGTCACCTGCCTGTCCACCCGCCTGTCCACCCGTCACCTGCCTGTCCACCTTCCTGTCCACCTGGTGGAACTGTAATGCAGTTCACAGGTCTCAGTATTCCAGTTCTTTATATAACTCCACTGGTTCTTCATGTGGTTCTAGAGGGATCTGAGGTTCTCTGTGACTGAACAGGTGACACATGTAGGAGAAGTTTTAGAGACACCAAACTGTTTTTGTTGTTTCAGTGGGAACGTCCAGCTGTTGAAGTCCTTCCTCTCCTCCCTCCATTCTATCGCTCTTCACCTATTCGTCCTCCTCATCCTCTCCCCAAGGTGACACACACTCACACTCTCTCTCACACTCTCTCTCACACTCTCTCTCACACTCACACATAACATAATGCTAACATGCTAAATGTTTGCAGCTACCTGAAGGCTGGATCTCACCAGAGAAAATGGGCGTGTTCCGGAAGAGGGATAAACGCCTCCTCCTGACGAACCAAATCATCCGGAGGCCGAGAGGACACGCCCCCAGGACACACCTGCTGCTGTCTCACTCTGGAGTCTCAGGTAATCAGACTGCAGTTAGATATTTAGTCATATCATATCTGTGATGTATCACATAGGCTGCGCCTCTCTCCGCTCTGAGACTTGAGGCCCATCTCACCTGTTCACAAAGGTCACGTGTGAAACTGCAGCTCACCTGTTCACAAAGGTCACGTGTGAAACTGCAGCTCACCTGTTCACAAAGGTCACGTGTGAAACTGCAGCTCACCTGTTCACAAAGGTCACGTGTGAAACTGCAGCTCATCGAGGTCACGTGTGAAGCTGCAGCTCACCTGTTCACGTGTGAAGCTGCAGCTCACCGAGGTCACGTGTGAAGCTGCAGCTCACCGAGGTCACGTGTGAAGCTGCAGCTCACCGAGGTCACGTGTGAAGCTGCAGCTCACCGAGGTCACGTGTGAAGCTGCAGCTCACCGAGGTCACGTGTGAAGCTGCAGCTCACCGAGGTCACGTGTGAAGCTGCAGCTCACCGAGGTCACGTGTGAAGCTGCAGCTCATCGAGGTCACGTGTGAAGCTGCAGCTCACCTGTTCACAGAGGTCACGTGTGAAGCTGCAGGTGTGATGTTACATTTCCATTTCTTTACCTGTCCCTGGGACACCTGGCTCGGACCAGCTGATTCAGGTTTTGGAGCGCTCCTGTTGTGACAGAATAGTGTCGGCCGTTCATCCAGTCAGATCATCCGCTGTTCTGCTGGTTCTTATTTCCATGTGCACTCCTTCTGATAGGCGCTTCCTGCAGGCGAACAGTCAGCTGCAGCTCAGCTGGAATCGAACCAGCAACCTTTGGAGGCTGGATGTGTGTTTGGGGAGACTGCATTGTCGTCTGCCATGTTGCCATGACAACAGTGCTAATTTCTGGGAGCCGATTGGCTGTGAAGCTCGCTGCTCAGAGACGGTGAATGTGTGTTTTTTCTACTGAGACACACAAACACAAAAAGCTGCTGTCAAATGTAATAAGAAGATGATTGTCCAATTTAAAATCGCCCAGTGGAGCATGATGGGACGTTTCTGCTGCTTCAGACTGCAGACGTGTTTTTGTCTTTGTGTTTAACAGATCGATGCAACCTAATACAGACAACAAGGGAGCAGCTAGCTGAAGAAAAACTGTGTATATATATATATATATATATATATATATATATATATATGTGTATGTATGCATATTGATGAAATGAGACTCAGGTTACCTCAGAGACTGCTGCACCCTGATCCTTAATGAGACCTGGCTGCATCCCGGATCAAGCTGCTGCACTCGACGGGCAGAGCCTGTTCCATGCTGACAGAGCACTAGACTCTGGTAAGACCAGGGGAGGACTCTGTGTTCACGTCATGATGCTTGGTGCTCAAACACAGTGGATGGACCGTGTTTACCAGATGTGGAATTCTTATTGGTAGGATGTTGGTCACCTGACAAACAACCTGATTTTATTGTGATTACAATCCAAGTGATCTCAGAACTGTTTTACCTAATCTCCACCAGCATATCCACATCCCCACCAGAAGAACAAATACCCCGGACCACGTCTACACCAATATTGCTGGCAGCTACAAAGCCCCCCCCCTCCCACGCCAAGTTCTTGTCAGCTTTTACAGAGGAGCAACAGAAAGCATCCTGACTGGAAACATCACTAACACGGGATGTGCACGGCCCAGGACCGGAGGGCTCTGCAGCGGGGGATTCAAACTGTACATCAGTCATATCGGTGAGGTGCCTACGCAGAGCCCAAAGGATACTAAAGGACAGTACCCACCCAGCCACAGCCTGTTCACCCTGCTGCATGCTGGGAAGAGATATAGAAGTTTCTGCTGCCGCACCTCCAGAGTGCAGAGCAGCTTTTTCACCTAAGCTATCAGGCTCTTAAACTCTAACTCATCCTCAGCACTGCTCCAAGTACAAGAGTTTTACTTCTATGACCTGTTTTTTATCCATCATCTAATGTACCTTTTGTACTGCTGTGTCCTCACTTCGTGGGAAACAAAACCAGAAGCCTTAACAGAGGAACAGCACCAAAGCTGCGGCGTGGCCATGATGGAACTGAACCCATAAAGAGAGAGCGCACTGGTTTATCCTCGCCGTTCACTGCAACCAGCGTCGTTACCGGAGGTAACCCATGTCAGCTCCGAACTTTATTTCCCTAGGAGATGGTCTGAACCGGCTGGACGACTTTCCTTTTGTTTTCTCTTTTGTGTTCACTGAACTCATTTTTAGATCCCAAAGGAGATTATTATACACAACATAAAGATCTTATACCTGCAGAAGGAAGATGTGGACTCACCATTACTTCACAGAGAGAAGGATAACTTTTGAGTTCTCTCTCCCCACAAAGTTTAATTCACTGTTTACCCTGCTGCTCCGAGGATCAGCTGTGCCCCTGAAACCGCCGACAGCACCTGAAAGGTCTCTGCCAAATTACCTAAACGGCCTGGTGTATTACATCGCTCGAGCAATTTCGAATAAGTGGCTTCTGTCTGGGCAGAGATAGGTTTAAAACCGTGTTATTGTAACCTGAGCTTCATTGTGATGATTTCTGTGGGAAAAAATGGACCACCCCGTCCTGTTTATAGCTGTGTGCTTTCATGCCTAGCATGTTTATTTTTTTGCATCGGTACCACTCTGCATGAGAGGCCAATAACTATGCTACATCAAGACCAAAGGCCAGTTATACGGTTTCCTGTGGTTATTTGTGTATGGCATTTATGGTGGGCGAACCCCTTTTTGAGACTGTCTTCACATTTTGGTTATCGGTTCCTGATCACAGGGTGTGCCCCGTATTTATTAATCTTTATTAATAATTTTAAATAACTTTGATATTTGCTGCAGGACTGTATTGTTCATGTGTGTCTCCTTCATTAAAACTGATTTATTTTTTTATTAAAACAGCAACTGAGCACAGCGTGAGATGCTTTAGCTGGTTTGCACTAACAGACGTATTTGAGCCATATGTTTCCCCTCTGAGGCTTCTCTGTTAATTTCTTTCAGAAGCAGTTGGAGGCTTACGGAAGCTAACAAACGCAGATTAAATTTGCTTTTATTTTAGTGAACGTGGGTGTGTGTTCATGTTGTAGATGATTTCTGGCAGAAACCCAGTTTCTCTTCAGTTTACAGTTTGTCAGGATTAATTTGTCTCAGATTTTCACCGCACAGTTACAGATGGAGACAGTTTGCATGTGAAATTAAATTTTGTAGCACTTGGAGTGAAAATCAAGAACGGCACAACAAATAAAAGCGACACTCGTGATTTCTGCAACAAAAAGCCTGCGCTGTAAAAAAATATTCTTTAGAAATGAAGCCTGAATACACTATTACATAACCAGAAGAAGTATTCAAATATAGCAAAAAACATTTATGTGATTTCATCCACAAAAAAAAGAAAAAGGGGGAAAAAAAGGTGATAATATTTGGTAAAGTAAAATAAGAGAAGCTAAGCTTCAGGTCTCCACGAAGAGACGATAACAGAGCATCAGGTATCACTGTAGGGCGATAACAGACTGTCAGGTGTCAATGTAGAGATGAAAACAGATTCACCTCCACTGAGTATTTCATTTGATAGATGAACATCTCAGTGTGTGTTCTTACTAACAGTTTCTGAATACTAAATACAGAAGCAACACAACAGGAGCTGAGTGTGTGTGTCTTGCAGCTGTAATGATGTTCTTGGCAGCAGTCTGAGGAGACGCCTAAACAGCAGCTGTTCAGCAGCAGAGTATTTGGCTGGCGTTTAACTCCAAAGCTTTTGACTCAGATCTAAACATTGCTGAGTTAATCAGTCCCTCCTGGGTCTTGAGAGTATTTCTAACCTGACCAATCACAGCCCCTTTCACTCATACAATCATCAGATTCAAACCTGTATGGTTAAACAACAGCACCCCAAGAGATTCACAACTAAGTAATCATGTTTGTATCTTCTTTTCCAATAAACACACAGCATCTTCAGTGATGTAACAACACACAGTGTATCTGTCCACAACACTGGAAGGAGCATCTGTGCTGTCCTCAAACAATCTGATACGTGTGTGTTAACCACCGAACTGTATAAAATATTTAGCTTTTTTAGCCTCACATATTTGCCCAGTGTTACATTCGATCAAAAATGTTTAGCAAATAACAAAATCTTACTAATATTCAAAATCTGCAGTGTGAACAATTGTTTTATAGTGCATTGTGATGTAGTGTCTTACAGTGCAGGGTGATGTAGTATATTGCAGTGCGGGGTGATGTAGTGTCTTACAGCGTGCGGGGTGATGTAGTATATTGCAGTGCGGGGTGATGTAGTGTCTTACAGTGCGGGGTGATGTAGTATATTGCAGTGCGGGGTGATGTAGTGTCTTACAGCGTGCGGGGTGATGTAGTGTCTTACAGCGTGCGGGGTGATGTAGTGTCTTGCAGTGCGGGGTGATGTAGTGTCTTACAGTGCGGGGTGATGTAGTGTCTTACAGCGTGCGGGGTGATGTAGTATATTGCAGTGCGGGGTGATGTAGTGTATCACAGTGCACGCAGTGTGTTGAATTGCGGTGTGATGCAGTGTGTTAAATTGCAATAAACATGCTGCTCAGATCATCTAAATATGATCTACAGATTTTCCAAATGTGCTGTGATCTGTGATAACTATCATTTTTGACGAGTGTTTTCAGCACTAGCAGGGCATCCTGCTACATCTTCACGTTTTGTTGTCGCTATGTTGCTGCCGTCAACAGATTTAGGTCAGTGTTTCCTGAAAGGAGCAAAAATGTGTGGAGGCGGACTGATCTGCCAAAACATCCATGATACACACACAGACAGACAGACACGCACAGAGACACAGACAGACACACACAGAGACACAGACAGACACACACAGAGACACAGACACACACACACAGAGACACAGACAGACACACACAGAGACACACACACACAGAGACAGAGACACACACACACAGAGACAGAGACACACACACACAGAGACAGAGACACACACACACAGAGACACAGACACACACACACAGAGACACAGACACACACAGACACAGACACGCACAGACACACAGACACAGACACACAGAGACACAGACACACAGAGACAGAGACACACACACACAGACACGCACAGAGACACAGACACACACACACAGAGACACAGACACACACAGACACACACACAGAGACACAGACACACACAGACACAGACACGCACAGAGACACAGACAGACACGCACAGACAGAGACACAGACACACACAGACACAGACACGCACAGAGACACAGACAGACACGCACAGACAGACACACAGAGACACACATGCACAGAGACACACACACACACACACACAGACAGACACACAGAGACACACACGCACAGACACACATGCACACAGACAGACACACATGCACACAGACAGACACACATGCACACAGACAGACACACACGCACAGAGACACACACGCACGCACAGAGACACACACGCACGCACAGAGACACACACGCACGCACAGAGACACACACGCACGCACACAGACAGACACACGCACACAGACAGACAGACACACACGCACACAGACAGACAGACACACACGCACACAGACAGACAGACACACACAGACACACACAGAGACACAGACACGCACAGAGACACAGACACACACGCACAGAGACACAGACAGACAGACACACACACACAGAGACACAGACAGAGACACAGACAGACACAGAGACACAGACAGAGACACAGACAGACAGACAGACATGTAAAACATTAACTGAGTGAAACCACAGGTACAGCGTGGACCTGCTTTCTTTTCTTCGTCACAAAGATACAGATTTGTGTTTTTTTCCGTATGAATAAAATTCTCTGGTGTAGTTATATTGATGTTCAGGTCATGACCTCATTTTTATCTTTTTGTTAACAACTCTCCTGATAGTCCTGGAGGAATTGTCAGATGTTTCAGTAATGACAGAAACCACAGCAGACTGCAGGTTTTTTGTTGCCTTCATCAGAGTCTAAATGAAAATATTTAATGCTTGTTAAAGGGATAAATGTTGAAAATCAAGTTAGCTGCTGCAAATCCTCTTAGTTAATCATTAGTTAGTTATCAGGTTCAGGGAGGTGTGGAGGAAGGGCAAGGTACCAACATGTTTCTCTGTGTCCAGGTCGTGTTAGAAGAGACGCAACAAAGACCAGAAACACCGAACCAGAAGACTCCTCCCCCTCCTCCTCCTCCCCCCCGCTGCACCTCCTCTATGTGTCTCCTCTCCACCTGCCTCTCCTGGCTGCTCCTCCTCCAACAGGTGAGTCGGATTTCCTCTCCTCATTGGCATCAATGCAGTGATCAGGGGGAGTTTGTTGGCTGACTGCAGGTCTGGGGGTCGGACAAAACCTCTAAAAGACCTTAAAACCAATAAATAGCATCCATCCATCTTCATCTGCTTATCTGGGATCGGGTCGCAGGGGGAGCAGCTCCAGCAGGGGACCCCAAACTTCTCTTTCCCGAGCTACGTTAACCAGCTCTGCCTGGGGATCCTGAGGCCTTCCCAGGCCAGTGTGGAGATATAATCTCTCCACCTAGTCCTGGGTCTTCCCCGAGGCCTCCCCCCAGCTGGACGTGCCTGGAACAAATAAGTTTTTTTTAATCTGTGAAGGAATATCTGCAAATCAAATCAATCAAGACAAAGGTGAAATAAAAACATGGCCAACAGTGTGATGGTGATGATGGTAACAGGAATGACAAGTCTCTTTGTTTCTGGATCAGTAACAGGTTCTGGTTTGGGTTCTGGTTCAGATGGACCAGGTACATCATGCTCCTGCACCCTTACAGAGAACTCTGCCCAGAGATTTTGTTTCAGTTACTAGTTCTGGTCATGAAGAGCAGAACTGGTTTAACTGGTTCAGCTCTTTCATGTGTCATCAGTCTAATCGAATGGTCAGTGGGGCGGCTGTGGCTTGGGCAAGATACTGAACCCCGAATTGCCCGTGGTGGGTCTGTTTGAGCACTGTGTGTGAATGGTGTGCACTTTAAAAATGCTTTGAGTGGTCAAAGACTAGGAAGGCGCTATACAAATATGTAATTTACATCACTTCACTCCTTAATCCAAACAATGAAATCACATGATCAAAGACAGGCCCACTGAGGAAGATGGTCCTCTGAGCACCAGGTGACCCACTTGGCACAGGGGAGGAGGCCAACCCACAGCGATTTAGAAGGAAGAAATATGAAACGAGCTGTATCAAACGAACTTCACTGCGGTGCAAAGCACCGTTCCCGCACAAAAATATAACGGTAAAGAGTGAAATTTGCGATATAAACGATTCGAAACGAACATAAATGTAAAGAATAGATGTTTGTTACGACGTTTCAAATGTTAACTATTGTTAACGCTAGTTTCATTTTTTAGTCTTGCTGCAGTCTTATTATATGACTTGTAGGCTGTGTCCGAAATCCCCACTCATTCACTACACCCCACCCCCTATGTAGTGAGTTCTATGTGGAGGTCTAGAGCTCACCTGCATAATGACAACAACACTTTCGGACTCCCATCATTGTTTCGGCGCCATTAATTATGTCATTGTCGTGGGGCAATCTGTCGGTGGACTGTTTTTTTTTTTTTTTTTTTTTTATCAGCGCAATGCATGATGGTATATAGGGCTTGGTTAGTGACCATTGGTTGTATACACTACTTTCCAAAAGGCATTCTGGGATACATTGAGTGGGCTACATAGGGTATAATAATTCTCACTATATATTCGGACAGCATATACAGTGAGTAATGCGTGATATCGGACAGCCGTAGTCTTGCTGCAGTTGCATCATGGGACTTGCAGTCTCTCTAACGGTGTTGACAGACTTTATCTCCCCCTCAGGCTTCGTCCTTCTATTGTTCAGCTGCTCCGTTCTGTTGTTTATTTTAAATCTCTGCAAATTAAAATGCGGCTGTGCTTGATTTCATGCACTGTGGATCCTCAGCAGCAGCATCTGCTTCGGTTTCCTGCAGCAGCGAGACAAACCCACAGCTCAGCGTGGCATCATTCAAAATAAACTGACTAACAACAATCGGAGCGCAAAGCAAATGAAGAACAGCAGCAGGAAGCCCAACGTCCAGAGAAGGAACAGAATCAGATGGATGAGGACTCAGAGAGGCTTCATGGTCTTGTGTCCTCAGAGGCTCCTGACTGAAGTCACAGAAAGTTTTTTACTTTTCATTTGAACGAATTAACTCGATTTAGACCAAAATCTGAAAGAAGCCCTGTTGACACTTCTGACAGTGTTTGTTGTTACACAGTTTAGCCTGCCATGCTAATTAACTACTGTCTGTGTGTGTGTGTGTTCTGCTGCTGTATGAATAATAAATGGTTCATCAGCTTTTATAAAATGTAAAATAGCTCGTTACAGCTCTGTGTTTGATTATCCTGAAACTGTGTGTGTGTGTGTGTGTGTGTGTGTGTGTGTGTGTGTGTTATTTCTCAGAGGCATTGTTTAATCTCCTTCCCACAATCCCCTGCTCCTCTCGTGTGTGTTTGATGAAGTAATGAGTTGTGAGAAGAGCTGAAAAGGTCACACGCAGTAGAGCTGAGTGTTCAGATGAGTTCATTGTCTGTGTTATTGATCAGTGATCAGGTTAATGATGTCATTTATCACCTCCATTAGCTGAAGTCGTCCTGCGTTGCCCTGCATCTGGTCTGGCAGGTGAAGACCTTGCTGGTCACACACTACTCGCACCATCCCTGACTCTCTGTTTACTCTGTTTCTGTTTGAGTCCATCAGTCAGATCCAGCAGGACCACGTCTGGTCTGAGTCTCTGATGTGGTCTGGGGACCTTCAGCTTCCTCCCTACGTTGCCAAAGAAGCTGGAGATGAAGATACTACGTTCAGGAGGCCTTACAGACTTCCAAAAAGGAGCAATCCAGACAACAGTCTTGTCAGGCCAGGGGAAATTTCCTGATCCAAACATTATCCTGGCAACTTAAACCATTTCCAAGAACCACATCATCTGTTCGAGCTCAGTGAGGAGCCAGTGTTAGTCTCCTCCGCCGTAGCCTGTCTTGATCAGAAACACATACTGTGGAGTAAATGACAGGCTCGCCTGGACTCTTGGTTACGCCTCCCACTGTCCCACAGACGTCCTAAAGCAGGTCTGAAACCAACAGATTTAACTTCTGCACCGAGCAGTGAAACCCTCCTTCTCAGTATGGGATGCTCCCCGAATATCATTGTTTAACTTTAGAACCTTTTACTGCGTCTCCAATGTAAACCTGTTTCAAATCCGAGACCTGGTTCGATGAAGGTCCGGCCCGCTACCTTTACTGTTCACAGTGTTAAATAGAACCAGGAAGAAAAGTGAAAACAAAAAGAGTGAAGCTGCAGTTTGATTTCAAAGTAGTACGCACACACAGAGTGTGTCAGTAAACCTCCTGATCTCTGTTCAGAAGCTGTTTGATAAAGTGACTCTATAAACTGAGACCAGAGCTTTATTGAACACGCACGCACGCACACACACACACACACACACACACACACACACACACACACACACACACACACACACACACACACACACACACACACACACTTCTCCAGGGTATAATTGGGTGTTTTCAGGAGGGAGCTCATAGCTCATCTTTACAGTGTTCTGCTTTATAGCGCACACACGCACACACACAGACACACACACACACACATCTCAGTCTGTATTGATAAGCAGCTGATTGATTTAATTAGCTGACATTGAGGTAATGGGCCGCAGGAGCCACGAACATCCTGATTAAATTCTCATCATATTTCTGTAAATGAACTTTAAAATGTTTTTGTTAAAATCAAACTGAACTGAGATCAGTTGAAGATTTTGTCCTGAAGGTGGCGCTACAGAGAAGCTGATTGGTTCATCAGGCGTGTGATGTCAGTCTGTAGTAAATGTGGAATTACCAGTCCGCTAACTGAAGCGTCTGGAGGAGACAGGTTTCAGCTGGGACATGAAAAGTGAGGTGAGGGGGGTCTTTAGCGTGACGACTGAGCGGTTGTTTCCAGTTCAAAAGGGCCGAGCTGTAAAAAAGCTTCTGTGATTCAGATCTCAAAGGGAGATCTTTGGAGGAAACTGTCAGACCTGGTGCGTATTCTTTGGCTGATGTCCGATGGTGGGCTGCGATGTGACAGTGGAATTGAGGAGGGCGCGGGAATCCTTCCTAACAGAGGTGGGTTTGAACAGAACAAACTGAGGCTACTTCTCCCAGGCTGGGAACACAAGGCCACAAAGGATGGAGACACACCTGGGGCAGCACCTGACAAAGAGTCGTGGGCGTATTCGACCCAAGCCAGATGGGGCAAGGCAGCGAGCTTGCCGGGAGTTGAGCCGCAGAGCCATCTGGATGTAGGCCGAGTTTTATGATCAGTCCAGACAAGAGATGGCTCCTCTGCTCCTTTCAACCACTGCCTCCATTCTTCAAGGGCCAACTTTGACGGCCAGCGGCTCCCGGTTGCTAACATCATAATTCTTCTTGGCCTCCGGAGTCAGTCTCTGTCTGGTCAGAGGTCACTGATGAAGCGGTGGCAACAGTAAACTATAGAACTGTTGGAGCTGACTGAGGAGGCTTTTGGCCACGAGGATGCCTAGCCTGGTGAGTGGATCAGAATGAGGAATGGATCTGAGCACGCTGATATTGTTCCATTTTAGGGGGCAGGACCACTATTTGAGCACACAAATGGATTTTTATTTTGTTTTTTTCTGAAGTTGATTTAGAACAATGTTTGGAACTTTTTGAGTGTGTTAAATAAATGTAACTACCGTCAGATCATGACTGACTGGTAAACCCAGGGTTGGCTTACTGAGTATATAACCAGGGTCGTAAGCTGACCGATGAGTCTGATCATGATCGTTTGTGAAGTCAGATAAGCTCTTTAAGATAAGATGGTGCCTGACCATTAAGAGCTTTGTAGGTAAGAAGAATGATTTTAAATTCTATTCTGGATTTTACTGGAAGCCAATGAAAGAAGCTAAGAAGGAGAAATGTGATCTCTTTTCCTGGTTCCTGTCAGAACACGTGCCGCAGCATTCTGGATCAGCTGAAGAGTCTTAATGGACTTTTTCGAGCAGCCTGATAATAAGGAATTGCAGTAATCCAGCCTAGAAGTAACAAATGCATGGACTAGTTTTTCTGCATCATTTTTAGACAGGATGTTCCTGATTTTGCATATTACGTAGGTGAAAAAAGGCGGTCCTTGAAATTTGCTTAATGTGGGACTTAAACGACATGTCCTGATCAAAGATAACTCCAGGATTCCTCACAGTGGTGCTGGAGGCCAGGGCGATGCCATCCAGGGAAACTATATCTTTAGATAATGCGTCACGGAGGTGCTTAGGCCCCAGAACATTAACTTCAGTTTTATCTGAGTTTAACATTAGAAAATTACAGGTCATCCAGGTTTTAACATCCTGAAGGCACATTTGAAGTTTAGCTAACTGATGAGTTTCATCTGGTTTGATCGATAGATATAACTGAGTATCATCTGCATAACAATGAAAGTTTATGGAATTTTCCTGATAATATTGCCTAAAGGAAGCATATATAAAGTGAAGAGGATTGGTCCGAGGACAGATCCTTGAGGAACTCCATGACTAACTTTGGCGTGCATGGAGGACTCATCGTTAACATGTACAAACTGAAATCGATCTGATAAATAAGACTTAAACCAGCTTAGAGCGGTTCCTTTAATGCCAATTAGAAACATTATATTTACTATGTTTTTTTTTTGACATTTCCGACAAAAGCAAGTGTAGGAGAAACACAAACTGAAACATTTGTTGTTGGGCATTACATTATTTTATTCTAGGTAAATTCAACTGAATTTATTACAACTTGATTAATAATTTGATCTTCAGAAGGACTTGAATTCTTTTGATAGACTGACTTTGTCTTCTGCTTCAAAGAAACACACAGACAACTTCTCACTGATTAAATGAGGGTGTTATATATAGTTAAATACCTAATAAATTATTAAATGAAGGATTTATAAAAGAAAACAAACACAGCAGAAGAATGGGAAATATTGTGATGAAATAAACCTGATCTTATTGGCAATAGTGAAGTTAAGAATGTGATCTGATGGTGCAACATAACGGTAAGAGGCGAAGGTAACGCTAGGGCACTGAACTTCTTTAAATGGGATCACAGCAGAAAGCCAGAGTTCAGCCTGCTGCAGGGTTCAGCAGATTAACAGACAGGTTATCATCATCACTGCACTTACTGCCTGTTAACCAACATCATCATGTGTGAAGCTTCTCTCTGCAGGTCCACATGCCTGCAACATTTTCTTGGTTTCTTTGAGTTCTTTCTCTTTCACACCTTAAATACAAGCTCATTTTACATTTGAAGAACATTTAAAATACATGAAGTCGGTGTCTGTGAAACTGTGTCAGTGCTGCTGACAAACACCAAACCTGCGCTCGTCTTCATGTGTTCATCTGCAGCTTCTTCCTGCGGATTAATAAATAAAAGACAAGCTGAATAAAACATAAGTCAAAAGGTAAAACTGTTGTACTTTTAAATTTTTTAATCCTTTCAAAGTAAATCAAATAACACTTTTATTTTGTACTAAACTTTACTAAATGTAAAGGAGTAAAACCTACTCTACACCGGTACACCACTGCTACTACTCCCACAGTAATAATACTGCTGATAGTAGTATTTATATATGATGGCGGAGGAATCGGTTACTTTGAAGCTGCTGCAAAATGTCGACACTATTATGAGCTTGGTTTTGTGTTGTATTTTTCCCTGTGTGTTTCTGGTTTTGCCATTGTTTCATGTGTTTATCTATTTGCCTCGGTTTCTCTCGTTCCTTGTCTCTAGTTATTTATGTCTTGTCTCTTATCTTAGGTCTTAGTCCTGTATTTTAGTTCTTTGCCTTAGTTCTTAGTTCTGTGCTTTAGTTCATGTTAATGTTATTCCTGTGTAGTTCTAAGTTTCATTATTTGATCTTGTCATGTTGATGGTTTGTAGCTTAATTTATTCTGTTTATCTGCATGTTTTTTACCTCTTCGAGTCCTATGTCACCATGTTTTAGTGTACTCCTGTCTCCTGTTTGGTCCGGTCTCAGTCCATGCCCTGATTTTGCAGTCTTTACATATTTTGTGTCTATCCTGGTGTGTTCCCGTGTTCAGGTCTAGCTTTTTCTTTAGCTTCCTGTTCTGTTCTCCTTGATGTGATCCACCTGTTTTATGTTCCCGCCCCGCTCGTTTGCCTCACTACTTAATGCCTGTGTTCTGTTCAGTCTGGGTTGGATCGTTGTGGTTTGTTGCTCATAGCTTGTGAATGTGCTTTAACCTGAGTTCGTCTCTGCCTCATGTTTCATGTCATGTCAGCCTGGCCAATTTGTGGATTATGGTTTCATCTTGTGTTCATTGGATTTTGCTTTTCGACTCAGCCACTGTTTGTAAATGTGCTTGTTTTTGTTAATAAATCATTGGATGATATCTGCTCAGCTCTGGTGTCCTGCATTTGGGTCCTCAACTAGCCCACACACACTGCAAACCTTAACAGACGCTGAGAAAAGACTTCAGTTGAATGTTTCATTTAGTTTGTTAACCAAATTTCCGTTTTTCAGAATAAAATTACCATCAACATTAACACACACACACACACACGTACAAACAAATACAGGAAGTTATGAGAGACTGAAAGTCACATTACAATAACATCACAGAGTGGACAATTTCAAATCAGTTTCAAAACGCATATTAAAAACAATAACGTTAATAAGGTTGTGTTTGTAGTTTTAAACTACAACCAAACGAACATTTTAACTTTGACCAAATTTACAGTAATTTACAGGAATCATCAGCTAAAATAAAATCACACTTGTTCAGATCTTCAGTGGGCTATTGGTTGATTGAGCTGAATCAATGCAGAGAGGGTTCTCAATGGGATTATTAATTAGTTTAGAGAGAAA